CATCCATCCATCCATTATATTTGTTGTCTGTTGTTTGTTATAGATATTTTGCTGATTAAAGTATTAGTGTAAGTGTTGTTGTAGGCCCTTTCAATTTATTTTTCATGCACACAGCAGTTTTATTCTGTGGTGTAGTGTGGGTGAACGTTAAATCGCTCAATCATCAGCGACAGCATGAATTTTGCATGACTTTCTTTTATATCTAAATTAAAATAGCCTTGTTCTATATTTTTCCAAATAATTTTGCTCTAAAAATATTTATGTGCATCTGTATAATAGCCTATTTTTAGAGGTGACTTTTTTAGGCTAATTGTTTTGTATGTTAATATCCTTACTTGTTAATAAATATAAATCTTGTATCTTTCTTTTGTTACGTTTTTCAAACTATCATGTCAAACTGATTTGCTTGCAAAAGCAGTAAAAGTTCAATAAATGAAAAAAGTCCTTTTTTGGGGGGGGCTCGGCCCTCTAACGTGGTAATCTGTTCGGTCCTGGAGGGGCTGGGGGTGACAATTATTTTTAAAAACATTTTATGTATAAAAAATAATGTTTTTTCTTTTTTTTATCAGTGCAAATTAAAAATAAACAAATAAACAAACGGTTCCAGCTTTATCATGAAAACCTGTTTTCAGTTTAATGACTATTAAATAATTTGTTAAAGTTAACTCAGCTGAAAAATCATAAAAAGACACAGTTATTGGATCTCTCAGGACTATTTCCCTCAGACATGTTTAAAGAAGAGATAAGGCCTTTAGTTCAACTTTATTCTAACCCACAGATGTACAAATCACAAAATAAGAACTATAAAGTAAAGCTAAAATAAATAAATTTCTGATCTAAAAACAAAACCACACATCTAAATTGAACAATAAAAGTAGACGTGCAAATGCATCAAATGATAAATAAAACATATACAGTTTTAAATATAAATGTTTTGTAGAATCTGGTTCATCAGAGATTTAATGGTGAACTAAAGTTCGTGAAAAGTTCATTAGCAGAAATTATATATATTGTTTAATTCAATCATTTTAATGTGTATTCTTTTTAATTTACCAGAAACTTCAAAGTAAATTCTCACCCATACTGAAACCTGTTTGCAGTGTTGCCAGATCTCGCGATGGAACAAGCAACCAGCTCTATGAAAACAAGCCCAAAACAAGCCCAACTGGCAACCCAATACATTTTATAAAACAGAGGCTGTTTTTAAACAGTATAATAACCATACATTTATTATGGCATTACACATAAACAACAGCAAAATTATGCTAAACACTTTGAATAACATACTTTTAAGCTCTGATAAAAAAAAAATACATTATGCATATGTAAAATTTTCTACATATTTTTAAAAACAAAACATCCTGACATCTGTGTGTGAGTAAAGCCCCCTAATGGGTGGCAACAGTATGAACGTGTACGCAGGTCGCCTCGCCAACTTGGGCGGGAGCGATAAACAGGAAATGGGGGCATGGAAGGGACAAACTACCTACTACCACTCGTCTTTTGCTTTATTCATTCCACCTTTATTTAGACAGGTAAATCCCATTGAGCCTCGAATACTCATTTACAAGAGAGACCTGAGCTTTATTGTGCGGAGCTGGGAGATAATCAACTAGTTTCACTCGGAAAGAAAGTCAAGCCCAAATAAACAACTTTATGTTCAAAACAAGCCCAAAAAACTGCAACCCACGACTCACAAGATTTACAAGCAACTTTAGAAAAAAACAAGCCCAAAGTCGCTTATGCAGTAATAAGCGGACTTGGCAACACTGGTTCCAAGGTGTTACCGCCACCACCTGGTAAGGTGCGTGACGTCAATTTGAACCCCATCCACTGGAACCAGTATTGAAAGCATTATGGAAACACAACGTGTACCGTATCGAGCCGAGTCAAACCGTGCCGTACCGGTACTATGGAAAAGGGGCAATATACAGTATCATGCTTCTAAGCAGTTAGTTAAAATGGCCCTTCATTTTTTTTTTTGGTTTATGTTGTGTGTTTGGGAGGAGGGGTGTGTTGGAAAACTGGCATCCAAGCAGAAAAAGCCAGTCATAATAAGTTGAAATCAGACTATTTTCAAACCAATGCTGCTAAACGGTACCTTAAAGTTTGTTAACAGTTTGCATGACATTAGTAGATGTTTGTTTCTATCCTTTTTAATAGCTTTTTTATTAGTTACTCATTGCTGATAGAAAGTGTGAAACAAAGGAAGGCCTGAACCCAATCTCAAGTTGAGGAAGAGCTAGATCAAGAATAAATTATGCGACCCCCTGTGGGCCTGGTAATTAAGAAAATACATTAACAGCTTCCAAGCTAATGAAGAAAAGACATTAACAGTTTCCAAGCTAATGAA